GCGGAGCCAAGGGCGTCAAGGTTGTACTAACCGGGCTTGAACCCGGGTTAGCGTGATTATTTTACCCGGTCTTAAGATCCGGGTTAGTGCACTAGGTTTCGTAAGTCTAAAATTAGACTTCAACTACGCTCCCTTAGGTCCGTTCTGGACTCGCAGACCTCTCTCGAGCTAACACCGTTCTGCATACGGCTTTGGTTCGACGATACGGTGAGTCTCACATTCGAGGTTGACCGTCGAGCCACTCCGCATCCACTTCACCCGACCAATGGGTTAGCTCGCAGTGAGCCTCACCAATCTAGTTGTCCTAAAGCTACCACACGTCCTATGTACTATACGACCCTTTCTGATGTACTATTGACCCAAATTATGGCGTTACTCTTATGCACTGATATTCCTCTCCCGCCGTTCATGTCACTACTCGGGCTTTGTAACTATGTCCATTCGATATTTGCACGTCACTTCGACCTTCAATGTTTCACTATAACGACAGGCTTCGTCACCTCTCACGTCATCCCTACAATAATAACTATGCTTTAACGAGCTTCTAGTACCGATCCAACAGCTACACCCAAAATAATATTCGAAAACTCCACGAGTAACCTTCTTAAAGAAGGTACGCAGCGGTCATCTCATCCTTCCGTTCCCTCCAGGTCGGGGGCCACCGTCGCTGCTAAAGCCCACCTTGTGGTCGCTCTTCTTCAAGCTGACGCGGTGGCTATGCTTTTGACACCGGGTCTTGCACTCATTCGTACCGGTTTCTGGTCTATGACCATTGCTTAAAGTCCTTGAGCACAAAGTTATCCAAGAATCCTCCTGGACTACCCCTGAACATGCGTTTGTCTCGGCTACTGACCCCTTACCTTCATAATTACAGCTCCACCAAGAAGTCTCGCCGTCTCGGTCCTGTCCCGTCTCTTGTAGTCCGGCACGTCACTCCTATTGCCACCGCGGAACGAGAGATCACCAGAACCAGGTGCCCTACGCCTTCGAGCGTCTTGCACTAGGTAGCGCAACAACCGCCTTAAGCTAAGATTTCTTTTCCAGTCTCTACATCATACTTGACCGTCCTGATTAGTATGCACCGTCTGGCGTCATGCACCATAAAGAGTAGCTTTCGACGTCGCCAGCACTGCCACCAGAGAGGGTCGGCCGCCGTTGGTTTCTTACACGTTTCCCGATGTCGGGTATGTCTCCGTACCTTTCCTAGCCTCTACCACTACCGGGCTGCCTCTCGCCTCTCTACGAGTTAACTATGCCCCCGTGCCTCACGGAAGAATACAACTGACGGAAGAAACAATCGTCTATACGCTCGCTCTACTTGGGTGAAATCACGCTCGTCTCTGAGATCCAAAATCGAGGAGCCAGGCAAGCCCTAGGCACAAACACGGAATTCATATCCGAATTCCTTGTAAGCAAAATAACAATACACTTAAATATTCTCTCTCCCCTTCAATTACTATCTGCTAAAGAAACGCGCCAGTTATCTCATCAGGGTTCGACGAAAATCTGAAGAAAGCTCTTCGCGACTTTGACAGACAGGATTAACAGGAACCTACAGCCAATCTACAGCCAGAAGCTGTCATCTTACATTTGTTATCTAACATCATCGATATGTAATACACAGGAACTTTGCTCACCTGCCTTGCACCTGCCGAATTTTGAGTGGGTCACAGTCACAAGGCCTGCCGAATTGATCCTGGGCCTCAGATGGAGAAAGACCTATTAAGATTCTAGAAAAAGACTCATTCCGATATACTTACCAAAGTTCTGGAACATAGGCATGCTGCAAGCATGAGCGCTTGAGCGCTAGTAGAAGTCAAGAACGGTATATGGCTATCATGCCTACTGAAATAGTCCAGGTAAACCTGTACTAGCATGGCGTGGGTCTGGGCCCTTGAGGTCAGTTTATATCAAGAGATCAGACTACTCCTTCCCGTCTTGCGAATGTTAGGTGGCTTCAAGGAATCCTGAGAATCCATGTGCATTGAACTTAGAAGTCTACCTCAAATAGATATGGATTGGATTCGAGGAATCATAATCCAAATCAAAGCTGTGATTTTGGCGCTTAATATCCTTCAAACTTGCTTCAAACGCTCTCACATTCTGCCTGGACTTATCTGCTTTTCGACTTCTGTAAAACGTATATCTAGTAAGGATCATCCAAAGGAATATGCAACCCTACCGAACCTAACTGACTTCTTCGCCCACCCAGACCCTTTCTTTGAAGCCGTCACTTCAATCTAAGAACAAAAGACATGTCCATCCACGACAGCGCCTACGATGGCTTTCTTACTCTATCCCAACTGCAAGAACATCTGTCGATCAACCCATCATCATTTCTCGACACAATCGGCGGCAAGATCAAACTTACCCCCCTCTGTGCCGCCTGTCTCGGTGGACATCTCGATGTTACCAAACACCTGCTGGCCTGTGGAGCTGATCCAAACATTCCATCGAGTCATGAGCGTACGCCATTGTTTTTTATCACGGATCCCCAATCCAAAGCTTCGTCTGCTACGCGGTGTGCAATAATCCGTGAACTTACTTCAGGGATGCACGGTATAAAGGCGGATCTGAACAAGCCATGCGATGATGATAAGAATACCCCTTTAATGAATGTCATAATCCAATTAAAAGACAAGGCTGTCATCCAACAGCTTATCGAGAGTGGGGCTTCACTCACTGTGCAGCATTACCCCAACCAAAAGACGGCTAAAGAGCTCGGGCAGGAGCATGATTTAGCAGAATGTCTGGTTTCGAAAGCAGAAAGATATACGGCTTGGGGGAAGCTTATGGACGTTGTCGTTTCGTTCGTGCTGTTGGTCATTGCGTATGTGAATATTAAGACAGTGAAAAGAGTTGTGGGGGGCGTTGTGAAGAAGTTCTACAATATCAGTGTCGAGGAGGAGGATCTTCCAAAGGTACCCGATTGCATTTCCTAATGGTTAACTTTAAGTTGCTAACACACGTACCTCACAGGACCTTCAAGAGGAAGTCGAGCGACTCGAGCCCAAAACCATTGATGAATTCAAGAAATTCCTGAACCATGAAGTCAAACAAGGCAAATTCGGAAAGTTCTTCTCCCCGAACGACCCATTTCTTGCGACTCTTGCGGAGAAAGCGAACGAGCTAAGGGATGACTCAACGACCGACCTCGGAAAACCCGAGAATATCAAGCGCTTGACTAAACTCTCTCTGTATCACCCTGTCATATACTGCGACGATAGCAGCTCGATGGATGATGAGGACAGATACGAGTACCTGATTGAACTGGTAACACGAATAGCACGCATTGCGACCAGGATTGTCCCTGACGACATGGCTGGGGTCGACCTACGCTTCATCAATAACAACTTGATGTCGACCCTATCAGCTGGAGAGATCCTGCAGACGATGAAAAGGGTTAGGCCATACGGCTCAACCAATATCGGCACCAACCTCCGGGAGAAAATTCTCAAGCCTCTCGTCTACGACATCATTGACAAACCAAAGTCCTCTATTCTCTTCAAGCGGCCTCTCCTGGTGTGCATCATCACCGATGGAGAACCAGGTCCAGAAAATCAGAATGTGCTTCGCAATGAGATCATAACGTGTAAGCAGAAGCTAGAGGCAAAGGGATACGATCCAACTTCGGTGATGTTTTGCATCAACCAGGTAGGGATTAGTGATGATGCGGAGCATTTTCTTGATGCATTGAGAAATGAGAAGGAGATCGAGGAGGTGATTTATTGTACGGTTGGCCAGATGGATAGTAAGTTCGAAGAGCTAAAGGAGAACGAAAGGGCACTGGAATCATGGTTGTTGCATTTATTGACGAAGCCGATTATGGAGAGGCATACGTAGGAGAGTCATTTTAATTGTCATCAATCAGTTCCAATTTTATCTGTATGATCAATCCCTTCAATTCATTCAGTACTGTATCTGTACGTCAATTCTCTTACAATGCGCAGTAGAATATAATTACATGCTACGTCCTCACCAGTTACCTTGCCAGTTATGCACGTTCAATTTTTCTAGAACCTGATTCAGATGTTTTGGGCACATTGTAGTGCTATTTATTCGACCCCCTCATTACTACAACTTCCTTCCTAGCTAGACTTTACAATGTGCTTGAAGTATTCTTCAACTTCTCATGGTTTGGAAATCGCCGCCTCGACGCCTTCAAATACCATGGTTAGCACGCCTCGTTCCAACATTATTCCCAATCAAGCAGACAAGTTTCAGTAATAAAGACAAGTCGGCACAGGCACTCGGTGTGCGATCGTGCCAGGAAATGTCGTCTCACACCTTCAAGACAGATCCAATCCGTTTGAGTTATATGGATTGTTCATAGAGTGGACGGGAAAAGCATCAAATCAATTGGGTGCTGAGCGCTGACGTGTCGTCTTCAAGCTCCTAGTGGCACGAGGGATTTGAGAGAAAAAGTTGGTACTCTGGGCTCGTCGCGTCGGCAGATACTCATAAACGATCCTCGCAGTTCGACATTAGGCCTTCGCATCGAAAATCTCGAAACTCACACCAAAAATGGGCGGTCCGGCCTCCCGAAGCCTTCTACTGGATGCCAAATCCTGTGTCTATTTCTGGGCTGGCATTTTGCTTCATTTCCGCCCGTTCTGTGTGCGGCCTAACGCGGCTGTAACATTCCGGTCTAATCCTATTTGTAATTCAACTGCGCTTTACACTCCGAAATTTGAATTGACGTGCCCTTCTTTCCCAAGTATTACAGCTGTTTTCATATCGATAGGCCATCAATCAAAAAATACGCATACACAGATCTTACCACGTGATGTTCCAAAAAAGGTAAATACCTCCTAATATTTAGAGTCCGCCCGCAAGCCGAAGGCAACTAACAGTTGCCTGTTATCTCGTGATCTCTACGAAACTTCAAATTCCGACCCCGACCAAGCGTGTATTTTTTGATTGATGGCCTATCGATATGAAAACAGCTGTAAGTTCCAACTGGCTCGCAGGAGCTGGGAGTCCTTGCCAGATTAATTGTCGGGCACATGGTGTAGTTGGTTATCACGCTCGCTTAGCATCTTAATTTGCGAGAGGTGTTGGGTTCAATTCCCAATGTGTCCATCGGTCAGCAATTTGAAATTACTTTTGGTCAGCAGTCTAGTTTTGAACTTGATAAATGTGATAAATGTTAAATCTTTGATCACCTTTTATCCTTATATCCTGACGCCTCTTCATAAATTCCCTCTTCACTCCCGAGTCTCCGGAGGTATCGTCCCTTCAGCGTAGATGGCAGTCATTAAAATTTATATTGATCGAGTCCCTAGAAACAAGTTTTTCTCCCCCGGCGCCCCAATCGATAAATCAATTTTGTTGAAACGACCACCTTGGTGAGGCTGTATTCCCATTCGAGCTCACTCACATTCAGCCATGTTCCACAAGTCCAAACGTCATATCATACTCATGCACAATTTGAAAGGAGAACCGATGAATAACATTTACTATCTCCAGATATCACTTGTCCTCGCGAGATTTGTGCCAAATTGAGCGCTTCGCAGGACTTGAGATCTTACATGGTATTGCAAAGTGACTCTTACTTTTACAAATATTTTATCGGTTGGGTCTAGCAAATAGTATACTACTACAATCGCTCAGGAATCTATCCCCAGGATTTTATCCCATCTATATTCATAAAGTCACGTAGGAGGAAAGAAAATGCCAACGTAAAATAAGTTTGAAAGTGCAACATTAACGTTGTTATTATTCGGGAATGAGGGTTCGAGGATGGGCCAAAATATTGATGATACAGTAAGGATTCTACCATTTCAAAGGTACAAGGAATTTCCCAAATATGGCCAGCGGAAACCGACGAGAGCAAGAACAAGGTCACTAGTTCGTTCGTGGAGAGTGGTCAGTGACGCTACGACTCCTGTGAGTGTCCGGCGAGCCGATGGCACTGCCAGGTCCAGCACTCTTCTCTGATACCGCCATGGGCGATCGTCGTTGTCCTATTCTTTCCTTAGTATCGCGGTTGACAGTAGGAACCGTCCTGGTTCGGATTCCAGTTGGAGCATGATTCTCCTCATACGCTTGATCAAGATGCTCCACACTATAAGAAGCGATAAACAGCATGACAGCTGCAAATAACGTAAAAAGGAATGTGAACCAAGGAAGGACTACAGCGATTCTTACTATCAAAATATAACATTCGATTAGCATGAATAGAAAAGTATGCATAGTGGAGAAAACAACTTACAATAGTAAATCCGCTTATAAACACCCGTGATATCGAGGGCGTTTTCTACAGTATTTACTACGTAAACGGGAAGTTGTATTCCATCCAGATAGGCGTTAACCCTCGCACTCCGTTTAGCGTGAAAGATGGTCAAAGGTACGAGCACGGAAAAAAGCCACACGCAAGATAATATCAAGAGCATAGCCTGGAAGAATAAGGTCCTGTGGAAAGACTTGGGGCGACATAATGTCATGCAGAGAAAGGTTGTGGTGAACGCGACAATGAGCAAACACGCCGTAGTAGACAAAACTCCGAGTACGTATACATCTATATGAGCAGCGGACGAATGAGAAGAATTTCGGGAAAGGCGAGGTCGGGAAATATCGGCGTACCTCGTATGTTGATGGTGACAATCGTCGGACGTGGAACCGCCCTATTTACAGCGGCCTTTTGTTCATTGGATTTCACAAGTGCGTTGAGTCCTATCCAGACCATATGCCAAAGCAGTTCTAGAAAACTCGCCCGGTAGAGAAATAAAATAATGCTTACCAACGGCAGCACCAATGATTCCCCAACACCAAGCCAAGAGCAAAGAAACAACACGCGTAGTGAACCATGGCGCGCTAGAGCGTTCTGTACGAGGAGAAGAAGAACGGGATCGAACTTGGTCCATCGTGAATGGTATTGTTATGCTAGGGAATGAGGCAAGAGCTCGAGGAAAGAAAAAGGAAGAAGCAACGATCTATTTGCTCAAGTTTATATATGTGGCCACCGTAATACCATACCTTCTTTGAGCACGGCGTAAAGTCTTTTATATGGAGTACGCAAGGCAACCTATTTCAATTTCCAGCAAAAGCCTCGATAAAGTACCTCTGATAGAGAATAAAAGATCCCAGTCTATAATATATGCAGTGATTTTAATGTGTTCCTGCATGGTGTTCGCGAAATCGGTCTAGTCTAGTATTGATAGTACCAAGAATCGAACCGGTTTCCAGGGTATAACACTCATCATCATCTCTGCCAGTCTTGATCAACCAATCATAAGGTGGGATATACTTCTCTCCAGTACATTGATGGCAGGGAGTCAGAAGGAAAAAATAACGCCTGTAGCCTGAGAACAAAGGCTATTCTGGTTACCTGTACACCACAGGTGACGCAACAAAACCCCAAGATCCGAGCGAGAATGAGGTGCTGATCTCACGGTTGCCAGTGTCGAGGCAAGTTACAGGATAATCGATGAATCGATGGAGCTTTGAAGTTTTGAAGAGCCTTGGCAATCGTTCAAGTGCCAGCACACACAGAGAGAGAGATGAGAACCGCCTAACTTTGGACTCAATTGATGACAATTTTGCACATCCGTCCGGCAATGGCCGTACAGTCTTACCTTACAAGCGCTTGCAGTCGAGCCGTTGATTGAGCATAGTGGGCGCATAAAGTCATATATATATAGGTGGAGCAAAACAAAAAAAGAAGAGAGAAAAAGGCCAAAGCGCCAGCTCCATAGGAAATTTAAGAGATCAAAGAAAAAATCAATGAATCTCCAGTAGAGCTCAAGGAAATGGAACAAGAGGCAACTACAAAATACTATCGATGGCGATTGTCATACAACCTGACAGACTACACAAACCAGGAAGGAGGGAGGAGAATGGCGCGGTATGACAAAACAAAAGTATACAGACAGAGGAGTAGTAGTAAATAATAGATCGCAAAGAATGGACATTTAAGCTCGGAGTTTTAGGAAGGAGGATGGGGGAGAGAGAGGTTGCCGCGGTGATTAGGGAAATCAGACAGATATGAAGAAAAAAAGAAGAGAAACTAGTCTGCATAATAAAAAAAAGGCGGGACATGGAGATTGAAAGTCAAAACGCACATCGGTGCAGTTACACTCCCGATGGCCATGTTGTACACACAGTCATACAAAAGGACATAAGCTTTGGGCGTACACATTTGGAGATTATCGACGAACAACACCGAAAGCAAGAAAGGAGAGAAGGAGGAGGATTGATCAATAAAAAAGGCGATTGCAGACAACGATAGCGCGACGGAGAATTTTTAAGACACTGGCGGGATTGGAGTAATTCGTTTGAGTTTCGTTGCACAAGAATAGATATATCGAACGCGCAATACATCTCGGGGAAAAGATGCGAAATATGACGTATCGCGTTGTTGTATCTGTCACCAGTCAAAGGGGTAGTAGGGGGCGTGATGTATGGGAATGGCATGTTATCGGCGAAAAGACAGACTGAGCAACAACTCGAACGCGTAGAGTCATGTAAAGGCGATATTAAGCCTATAAACAACAAAGCGGGATCAGAGGTGATGGTATGATAGAAGGCAAAAGTACAAACCGCCTCAGCAGCAGCCTCCGCCTCAGGTTCTTCTGCGATAGGAGCATCAACTTTTGCACTACCAGTAGCAGCTGGTTGACCGTCGGCCTGAGTAGATTTACGTGGTTAGCCGCATGTTGAAATCAGGGCAAGAAGAAAAAAGTTGTCGAAACTCATCTCCGAGAAAGATAAGCGTAAGAGATGATTAAAATGAGACGAACCTTCGAGGCAGGTTTCTTAGATCCTGCTCTTGAAGCAGGTTTGGCGGAAGCAGCCCGGGAGGCTGGCTTTGAGACCTTGGATGCCGGTTTGGCAGCTGTCTTGGAGGCGGGCTTTACAGAGGCCTTGGAGGCAGGTTTGGCGGCAGCTTGAGATGCTGGCTTGGAACTGGGAGCCTTGGCCTTTGATGCAGGCTTAGCCTATTAAATCGCATTGAATGTCTCAGAAACGCTGGTTTCGCGACATTAAGGATGAAAAATCGAACTTTTTTCTCGGCGGGCGCTTCTGCATCGTCTGCAGTGCCATTCGCTTCCTCTTCAGCCTTGCGCTTCTTTCCCCGAGGAGCCTTGGGTTTTTCTTCCTTGTCAGTAGATTCCTTCTCTGCTTTCTTCGCCCTAGGCTTTGCTGGAGCCTTCTTGGGGGCGGTCTCCTCTTTAGGCTGCTCCTTGATGCGAGAGGAGCGACGAGGCTCTGCAGAGGGTTCGCCAGAGGCTGCTGTAGAATTTGCTGCTTTGCGTGGCATTCTGAATTGAGGAAGAGGATTGGAGAGGAAAACGGCGAAAATGGGGGAGTGAGGAAGAGACGCGTTTCGGACACCCAAATCGATTCAACATCAGTTTGTTGATACTGCCAAAACAATTTCTCATCACGTGCAACGTGTTAGGTCATGCCTTTTTCTTGATCGCGTCTTGTCAACAAACAAATTATTCTTCAGATATCTTAAAATTAGAGCGGTGGTCGATGTGATTCAAGGATAAGTCAATATTTTATTCCAGCTTGCCAGTGCCAGAAAACGCAGAATCATGGAACCGAGCGGAACATCGTTTTTACACTTTGGGCCAGATTTCGGTTTACCTGGTAGGATCAATACCCTGGTTCAGTGAACTTTGAAGATCAGAATATTAGGCTTCTATCTTCACACATAAAGCAAGTCAAAATTAACTGATCAAAGGGAAATTAACTGATCAAAGGGGCAAGACCTATAAGCTGGTTAGGCTACGCGTCGTGTCATCGACTCTGAACTCTTTCCAGGCTCTTTCCCAACTAAATGATCCGTGGGTTAGTTCCATTGTGGTGACCTATAAAACACTCAGTCCGGGAATAATGGCCCGTATGGAATTCTGCCATGAATTCAACGCGAGAAATGATTCAAAGCTAACCTCTCGCAAATTGTCTCCACAGCCAAAGGGATCCTCAACCTCGAAATGCTATGTGGAATAAAATTTTGACCTGGTATTCGAAATACAAAGATGAGATCCCCACTTGTCTCAATCCTGGCCTTGGTACTACAGCGAAACATACGCCTACGTAACGTACCAAGGACTATTTTTGTTTATTGGAGC